AACTCCCAGCGAGGAGTGTCAATAATTCAGTTGGTAGTAACACCTAACCGAGCTTCAATGGGGCATGGGTTCGAGGTCCGTCGTGCTTTTTCATCTGTGAAGTCGGTGAAATTAAATAGAGGATTAATATTTTCCATCCCTGTAGCCGGCTACCTGCACTTAACTTTTTATTTCATATTTAATACTTCAACATCCAGAATCAGCTGGAACTGCGCGTGTATTTTCAAGAACTTAATTACCAAGTCATCGAGGAAATACCTGCTTATAATTATGAAAGTCTGTTAGGTACGTGTCGGCGTAAGATCCACAAATTGGACTAGTTCTCTCAAAGTGCATGGTCCAGTCGTCTGGGACAAAAAGATTTGGTGATAACAGAGCAATCAAATTTTTCGTTGAGAAAAGCTCTGGGAAGGCTTAATTTTAGAATATGTCAATAGAATATGTTAGATATATGTTATATATTAGAATATGTCACTTGTAATTGTCACTTTTAGAAAAGATCCTCTTTACGGTCGGGTGCTCAGTTGCTAGGCCTCTGGAGAAGGTCCAGGCCGAAAGTGACGTCACTGTGGTAATAATCCCGGTGTTTCTCAACTGTAAATTACTTCTATATCGTGCCAACAATTTGCTCCTTTCTATCGATCATGAAGGTACTCATGGTCTCTCTCTCTTAAAAAGTTTGACAGCTTTATTATAACTGTGAGAATGAACATTTATAAAAAGAATCCTAGTTTATCACATAATTGTTGCTGGAGGTCAAAAAGACTAAGATCTTCATATCTTCTTTTCACCACAGGTGAAATCGGCGGTCAAGTTGGTCTCTGTGTTGGAGCCAGTCTCTTGACCGTACTTGAATTCTTTGACGTCATAATTGCTATCGTCGGGATACGGCTGGGATTTAGATAAAATCACACACTGAACGATATAATAGCGTACAGCAGGAGCCCATTGCTGCTTACAGTGAGGCCTTAAACTAATGTAAAAAATTGAAACAAATCTTCAAGCTTTCACCGATCCATGCATCACCAGATGATCAGACCTTTGAAGCCAAAGAGATTGACTTGCAAAGTTTAGGTCTTTGATTTAACCTCTAGACATACAACTGGCCCCCAGAATCACAAGCTTAGCTAGGCGTTTTAGCAAGCTTTTGCAGCTGCGAATTACCCCCGTGAATTACAAGCTTAGCTGGTTGGTTAGCAAGTTAGTGCATTTTAAACATAGCGAGAGTCTTCTCTGTAATCATTAATGTTTAAGCAAAGCATGTCTTCTTCAGTTTAGAAAGCAATCGGTATCATACTCGCGAATGGTCACACGCAGTAGAAAGCAAAACGACTGCGGTAAAGCCTTTTTAATAAACGTCATGTCATCCCTGGCAATGCCGCCCCAACTCACCTTCCCCAAACCAAGTAACCAAAATCATTCCTCAATATTACTCTGTTACTATCTGTAAACTCAAGTCACCAAGTCCGTAAAAGTTGTTGAGTTCATTAATTCAATAAGTAATCTGTCTGTCAAATTTTCAGGAAACAAATATTACTGGCGATCTGACATCTGTGTGGCTTCACTTGGTGGTCAGGTCCCTCACCCTGAGACTTACGTGACGGAGGGAAGACTGGGGGGCGACTTGGAAATGGGGCGACGTGACTTCCATTCTGTAAAGGATAATTAAATTACGTACTTGAATCCAGTCATGCGTCAACATTAAGTTGCTTGGTTGGTGACGCAAAGGAATTGACAACTAGAGCATCCACTGTGGTCTCCGAAACCTTCATGTTTTACCGTACGTACATAAAAGCGACGATTTGCTTTCTTAAGAGGAAATACAAAGGTGAACAAAACCTTGAAAAAAAAAGAAAAGTGAAAAGGAAAAATAAATAAACTAAAAGGGATTTGAGCCCACGACTCTTTCATAATAGCGGTGTAGTGGGTTAACCAACCGAGTCGTCAAGGCAACTGGAAGCTGGTCAAAATGGAATATTCATCTTCATATCTTTCTCATATCCCTTTTACACCAGAGCTTAAACATGTTTTAAAGCTGTTTTGTTAAACAAGGGGTTTGTCGCCTCCAGTTAAGCACATTAAAAAGACAAGCTAGTGTATACCTGAAACCTATGGAATAGAATAAATTAGTTTTCCAGTTATCTATTTCTGATTTTCATCCAGTCAAACTCAGTTTAACTAAACGTGTTTTGCTGGTGTGATGGGGTATCAGTCTATAACAAGGGAATATCAACCATTTAATATTCTCTTGGTCATTTAATAGTCTTCAAAAAACAGCCTGCCCTTCATATAAGTTAACTGATTATTAATTCAGTGCGGAAGATGAAAAGTTATCAATTATTAAGCGGATTATCATCATTAAAATACATCTCACCGCAAGACAATTGAAATATTTCACGGCAAGCTCCATTTATCGTACATAAAAAAAATGAACATCTGCTTTTCATGTCAAACTAAATTTGAAAAGACGCTACCTGCTTAAAGTGCCTGTGATACGTTTTTTTTGTCATTTTCTGGTTGATAGCTATATTTGAAATTAGAAATAATTGACCTTAGCGCCTGACAAGTTCTTCTTTAACACCTTTTGGGCATTGAAAGTATGATTTGGCGGTCAAAAAGTGTCCCCATTAAGCGAGCGACCAAAACGATCATGTTACATAGCCGTGACGTAGAAAACTGTGAATACATGTCGGCAACTATGATCGAGAAATGAGAAATTTAGAGGAAAGGACGAACGTATTGCGTGGCCGGAGCATGTGCATAATATTTATTTATTTTTTAGTTTGTCACCTGTTTATACAGTGGTCATAGTTTTTCTTTCATTAATGACTTTACTTGAGAAACACCAATGCAAAATAATAAATTTTGAAGGGATAACTAAGATCGATACACCTTAAAAAAACCTTAGTTTTTGCTTCAACTTTTCACATCTATAACTTGTTATAACAAAAGTATGTATATATATATAAATATATATAATTTTAAACAACATACCGTAGTTATTCGGTTATAAGGCGCACCATTTTTTTCAAGAATTTCCTAATTTCTACTAATTACCGCCAAAGTTTGGGTGCGTCTTATGGGCGAATATTTTCCCGAAACAATTTTTTTTTATCACAGTTACTGATACGATTTCAAGCAAATAAAAGGACACACAGTGTTGGTCATTGACTTTTATAAA